TATAATATAAAACTAATATAATATCAATAAAATAATATAAAATAATGTTTAAAAATATCTATAATATTACAATATGACAAACTTTTCTTAGGCTAGTTAAAATTTTCTTAAGTAATACAAAATTGAAGAATTTGATTGGTTAATTTATGTAAACCTATAAGTTAATTTTATTATATAGTTTTCTATTCTAATATTTAAAAATTGATATCTTAATGAGTTTTTATTCAATTTTAATAATTTTGCTATTATTAGAATCAGAAAAACCTACTCTATAACTTTTATTTAATAATTCAAATTAGTTTACTTAATATAGTTTTTTATAAATTTAAATATAAAAATGAATTACCACTAAGTTTATATATAATTTTAAAATAGTACACTACCCTTAAATAAGACTAATTTGTTATTAAATAAATAAAAATTTGATTGATTTCATGTCACGTGATTAAGTGTAGTTTCCCATGTTTACATATATATTTTATAACCATTTATGCAAATCGACTTTCATTGTCTGCACCCCATATAATCACACCTCTCGGTAATCACCAAATTTACAAGTAACGGTTTGTGTGTAATTATAGAGAGTGACGACTGTACAAGTTTCTTTTTGTATTATATTCGCATTTAAAAGAGGAGTCCAGGTAACAATATATATTAAAGGTTCAAAAAACTGAGTTAAATTTATAATAGATGATTTTATATATTGTTTTTTTTTTGTACAAATGTATACATTAAGCCTTTGTATATTGGCATATAGATGTCTTTAAAGTTTTTATGCAAACCTCTTAAGGGAACATATAAACTATGAATTTAAGAAAAATTGTGAATGAATTTGAGGAATACTAAAGGTTTTACGGTGATAACACGGAAATAGTTAAAATAAAAATTCTATGCTGCCATTGAGGCATTATTAGGATTATTACGAGCATTGCTGTCATTTCCAGCTTGCTCATTTGGTTCTATATTATGTAGCCTTCGTCCTATAAGATATTCTTCATCCCTAACTGTTTGCATCCAATTTTCTATTAATTGTGTAGTTTGTCTTTGAATTCGATACCCGAATACCATCGCCAAAAAAACTGTATATATAAATCGATTTATTCTAGCTATTGTAATGGCATTTGTAATGCCTAACCATAAAAGGGAAAAAAATAATTAGCATATTAAAAAATATTCCGTGAAATACAATAAACTTACCCGACAAATGTATAATTCCCCACGCCGTGACAGCTGGAAATATAACCGCTAACAATGCCGAACCACCAATAGGAATAATAAAGACGGTCGTTGCCAATTTAACATTTAAGCGTCTAATGCCATGTACAGTAATCTGATAAAAGGAATCAAATAAAAATTAAGCACAATTTTCTTATAACATTATGTTGACAAATATAAATCAAACCTACTTCATTGATTGCTCTACTATAAACATTATCGGGCAACATAAATATAATACGATATGCAATTTTCATATAAACAACACCCAAAGCCCAGTCCTGCGTGAAGAAAGAGTAAGAATATTATATATACAGAAGTGGCAAATCATAATATTATAATACCTGCAAGAACGAAATCATTTGTACGTCCGTAGTAGGTTTCTTCCAAGGAAGAATTATATATAATTCAATAACCAAAGAAAGAAGGAATGGAATAACAATACCGAAAGATATAAAGAGATATGCTATTTTTGCGAATATGATAATTCCTTGCCCTATTTTACGCTTTATGTCAGCCCAATCAGCATAACGGTCTCGTTTTTCGGCGAAAGCTTGACATTTCCGTATTAACCATTCAAGAGTGATGCCTAATGACCACATGACATATAAGCCAACTGTAAATGTGTATAAGTCGTGGACGGGACGTTCATAACAAAGAATAGATTGAAAAATAAATCGACCAGTCAAAACTATAATAAAAGACAAATGAAATGTCAATATAATAAACAGTATTTCGAGAGCTCGAATTGGAATCTGTCCTGATTCTGAATCGGGACAGATGGGAATTTCGTAATTTTGGCCCGAATTATACTAGCCAAAATTAAAAAATTTTTATTATCAATCCTAACATTAATCCTAAGGTCTTAATTCTGCCAAAAAATTCACAAAATTCCCATCTGGGGAGCCCGATTCTGAATCGGGACGATTCCAATTTGGAGTACGACATATATATATAAAACAACTTACGAGGTAAAACGGTCACTGAACAACAGAACAAAGAACCACAAAACCACATAAGAAATAAAAACAATATAATTCTTGCTCTGAAATTAGGAGGAATATAAACAATAGTATAGACGGGCTGATCGTCATCTACGGCCGGTGCATCATTAGGATCGATCAAAGTACCATCTTCAGTAACAGGTATCAACATCCGTTTTCCAGGTTCTACGGGTACGGCGTCATAACTTGGTGCTCGAACAAACCCACCATCTCTCACGAAGACAACATCATCATTTTCAACTGCATTATTATCAACAATTGGTGCCTTAAAAAAGAGGAAAAAGGCACGCCATGTCTTTCGAACATGTGTACCTTCTTCATCATAATGACGTCCTCCAAACATGAAGGATGTCAATCGAAGGTGATGTGAGGTAATATGCCACCAATTTTCAAATAATGTACGGAACAAACGCTTAGGCTTCGCCAATGTGACAGTGACAGGGATAATGATATGGAATACCAAAAGATCAGCAGGAAAGTCCGATATAGGTTCGCTAAACATTAAAAAGTTGAGGTTAATCTTAATGAGAAAAGAAATCAGTAGAGAAAATTAAATGAGAATACATACGTAAACGACCATTGCAAAGGTAATATGCCATTAAAAGCATATCTAATGAAGTATATAACACTTCCTAATCCACATACGATCATAGCGCTGTACATAATACCGCTTGCACCAATTTTTTTCAACTGTGTCCAGACAGGTCTTTCTAAAATTTCTTTGATGGGATGGAATTGCGGATCGTTTGGATCACGAATGAACCACATAACGCCAGCACGGACAATTTCACGACAAAGAGAAACAAACACCGCAAAATGAAACATAAATGCAGTGCCAGTAAACCAATGAAGAAATGTTGAAGTGACAGGGGATTCGAGATAGAACTCCAAGCGAGATGTCGGGGTGGCATCAGGGAAAAGTGGTAAGGTAGATAGATCCAACAAGATACCACATATAATGGGAAAAATTAACAATTCAATAGCGACAAAAAACGCAACCTAAAAAAAGAAAATTTTTATGAATAATCCTGAAAGTTAGAATTTAACTGCAAGAGGAAATAATTTTATACATCAAACCTTCAAGACAATGCCCTGTTGTCGCAGCACTTTTTGAGCAGCACGTCCAACGGTACGACCATACGGATTTCTTGTCCGTGATAGATACCACACGCACAAAAGGATAATGATCGAATATCCACAGAAAATGCAGACAATTTTGTCCGTTGGTGTATTACCATAAGCAAATCCATTCCACCGATCGATTATTTTTACAAGTACTGTTAAGTTTTGGCCTTCAAGGAACTCAGAGATATGATTTACATTACTATCTATACCAGTACCACTTGTTATTTTCCCAGATGCGGAGGTGATTTGTGTCAACAAAGATGCAGAATTGGCTATAATGTATCGAGACTGGTTTGAAATGTCTTGTATGTAAACCATTAAGGACGTGTCTTTAACCATTGGAGATAAAGTAGGATAAATTAAGTTCCATAATGATTTTAATATTGGTAAGATGAACCCCCATAACCAAGGTAATGTGGTATCTATTATTAGATCGACCAAAGGGTCAGTCAATTTCCGCAATAAAGTCAATGGAAGTTGTATCAAGTTCAAAGGTTTGACCTAGAAAACATTTAAATAAGTATCCAATTTTATTTTTAACAATACTAACACAAGTCTTAATATATATACCAGTAAAAATGCTTTGCCAACAAAGTAAGGCAGCCAAACCGAGCCAAATAGACATAAAGCAATTAATACTGCCATCAATGCGGAGTTTTGAGCAAGCATCCACAAAGAGCCTCTCATGCCGATGGCTTCTAAAACTCCTTCAAGGTCCTCATTGGCAACGTTTTCTTCCTCTTCCTCTTCTGGTTCAAGACCTAAAGCAGGACCAGCAACTGGAACATCGATAGCTTCATTAAATACAGGAACCGGAAAAACAGGTGCTTCTGCATTGGGTTCTCTTCTTATTGGGCCAATGGGTGGATTCATAGCAACTTGGTCGTCATTGACAGCTTGTGGATCGTTATCTTGTGCTTCATTATTAAGATCAGGTATATCATTCAAAACGTTGGCGACCCAATTCCAAAATTGAGTCCAAATTGTATCAGCTTGCTGTTCTTGTCTTGCTTGTTGCTGAATATTATTAACATCCAAGCCAGGATCAGGTTGACCGATGTTGCCACCTGTCACAAATATATAAGAAACGTAACATCACAACTATCATTTTGAATTTCTCATATATACTGTGAACCTACCATCTATTGCATCCACAGGTCCTTCTCCTTGTTCAGCATTTTCCCTTTCGATTGGATTATCTTCAGAGTTATGATTTTCTCCATCATCATCATCATCATCATCATCGTCATCATCATCATCCATATCAGACATCTCGTCTTCACTGTTTCCAAAAAGGTCGGTAATCGATGAATTTGGGCCATTCTTAGGAATGCGATGCAGGGCGAATGCTGAATCATCAGCATAATAAACATTTCCATTTGTTATATCTCTTGAAGGGCTGTAGGCTGTGCCAATTTCTCTCGGGTACTTTTCTTGAAGATTTATATCTTCATTATCTTCGTCACTATCTGATGTCTCTGATGCCTCTTCATAATCACCATTGTTATCAGAAGGCGATACTTTAGTAGAAGAAGCTTTATGGTAGTTTAAATCTATCGTAGAAGCATCTTTAACAGTTTCTTCATTGTCACAAGGTGAGGAGTTTGTTGAGGTGGTACCAAGCTTTTGAGTATTTAATGGGCCCGGAGTTGGGGCACCTACCCTTCTCACTTTACTAATTGGTCGTATCCTTCGAGTTCCTCCGATATTATTAATATTATACTGTGCAGAAGCTGTCTTTGAAGACGATAAAAAACTTTGTGTGGATTTACTTTTTGACTCGTCATCTTGTTCAGAATCGACACAATTTGACTCGAATTGTCCCAAATTGGAGTTGTTTGAAGCAAGCGATGGTAACTTTTGTGATGATGAGGGCAATTCATCAGTTTTAGGATATCCAGTCAAAAAATCCGATTGAACCAAAGGTTCATCTTCGTCCTTTTGATTTATTTCATCCATGTAATCAGATATAGAAAGTCTTGTACCTGCTGCCGCGTATGGAACATAAAAAGGAGGTTGTTGCACATCTGCAACAATAGATTTACTACTGTTATCAGTTGATTGTTCGTTATCCCATGTCGAATGAGATACTGATGATGTTGAAACAGACTGGGTACTGCCGAAATTATTGTCACCTTCGAAATCATTCTGATACAAAAAACTCGGATTTTTATCAATTGCTTCGACATTTGATTCAATTTGTGTGTCGTCATTATTTATTTGATGGTATTCATCCTCCACCCAGTCCGATTCGATATCATTCTGATTTAATCCTGGCATTTCAGTTTGTGGTACAAGGTTTTCCATATGTAACTCGCCAGTATCTTGCGCTTGATTCTGTATAGGTTCATGTTCGGGTTGTTGTATTGGCTCCAAATTCTCGAACTGTAATTGTGGCTGAAATAATGGTATGCGAATGCCATTCTGAAAAACGAATTCCCCATCATTATTATTTTCTGGCTGTTCAGGACGGTTAGCATTTTGTTCAGGTATTGGTGCGATATTTGGCAAACCTATTCCATTATTTTCCATTCCTTCATTTTGAATTGCTTCATTTTCTAAAATGTCCAATTCATCGTTTTCCAACCCATCTTCAGCTGGAGTATTTTGTACTATCCATTCTCTCAACATAAATACAGCCACAAACACTATTACTACAACGCATGTAATGATCTGTCCTTCAAATGTGTCAGCTAAAAACTTACTGTTCAAAAAAATAAGATATTTAAGTTTTAAATTAAACATCAATGCAGAAATCCTTGCAATATAAATATTTGACTAACCTGGCAAAATCGCCATAGGCCTCAACAAATTCAACAGCCTCTGGGGGAATATACCATAATGTTCCTTTGAGTAGTGCAACATAAAAGATGGCCAACGCACTCTTTTCACCAGTCATAGTGTTGTTATTGTCTGTCAATCTAGAAGGTGGCCTCTGACCATTCAGACTAAAAGCTACACTCTCTCCGCTCCAAAAATAAAATCTCCATACCCAAACAGTCATATAAGGTAACGTTATCAACCATACAGCTCCTACAAGCATTGCTCGGAACCATATCTGAATTAGCCCACAAAAACGTCGTATTCCACGACGAAGAAACAGAACAATAGGAATAGACTCTGGCATGCTAGGATCATAAACTAATTAAAAAATCAGATTGTTAAAGACTATTAATTGATGAAAATTTCTTGGAATTGTTTATAAGCAACATGATATGTAATGTTTCCTTACTTGGTGTAAATGAAAAAGGATATTTGCATACTTCACAATACCTAATGAATGGAGAATTGGATTTATTTTTTTTAAAAAAAAAAACCAAACAAACAAAAAGAAGAGAGAAAGAAAGAGAAAAACGGAGAATTACTTCTTTTTGCTATGCTTTAACCATTCTGTGAGGCTTTAGATTAAATTAAAAAAATATATCAATAAATAATAAGTATATGAAGTACGAATGGACTAAACCGAGCTGTACTAAAAACTACGTACCAATCTTGGTGCACAAATCTGATACTACCAGCGCATTTACAAGGGTGGAACAACGGCTGATCTTCTGTGCGTTCGCTACGACAAACACGACAAACGTCTTTAGAAAAAAATGTGTTGAATTAGATTATGATTGATTATTCGCATGCTTAACTGTGACTTATAATAAAATCTGCCATGTAAAAATATTATAACAAGATCGTATGGTTATAAATTCTTTATAATCACCTTCTTCGTCCCCCATAATGCAGGTATATCTAATAAAGCCTGATTAATAAATGTTCGATGATCAAGTACACCCTTCCTTCCTATATATGACTTGTGGCTTCAAATTGTCAAAGACGACCCTTTCTAAGCGACAGAAAAGTCTCTTAAGTGCAAAATGAGCAGAGCTTGAGAACACTAAAAAATATTTCAGAGATCTCTGCTTTCGTAAGCCTTTTTTATATTCTCAATTATCGTACGCACATATCATTTTATTTTATGGTATACTGTTTGTTAATAATTGTATCTTATGAATCAACCAATCAGATTACATGTACAAATTAAATTAATTGTGATTTGTTTATTTCTGGTTGAGTTAACGCTAACGCTAAAGCAAAATTACTTTGTTACGAAAATCGCACTGAAAGATCTGCATAGCACTAGTAAGGATACAATATATTATATTCAGTGTTAGCATTTTTGGAAATTTTTCGTTAGGAATTTTAATATTAAAGTTATAAATATTTAATAGCAGATTTTTACTAATTGCAAAAATTTTTCAATACATATAATTTGTCGTTTATTAAAATTCTAAAATCAAAAAAAGACAAGTTGGTTTGTGTCTGCCAACTTTTACTAGTGCTAAAGTAAATTTATGGCGGGTCGTTTAAAGCCATGTACCTTCTATATAATGCATAAATTATATTCTTGATATCTTTATAAACCATTAACCCTAACTTTAGCCATCCTTTTATATGAAACCTGTTAATCAGAACAGATGTTTTTTACACCACTCGATTCGTCTTGATGAGACGAATCGAATGGTATAAGAACCATTAATGTTCATATCTGTAAGCTTCAATGTAATTTGACCTGCCACTTATATTAAAAAATATTTGTATATTGGAAATATATTTCAGTGCTCCATTTCACAAAAAAATGACCAATTTGCTGATTCTAATTATATTGACTTGCTTTAAAGGTATTATTTGAATACGTCAAATGAATTGTTTGCAAACGTTCATGGGATATTTTATCCCTTAAACTGTTTTCCAGGCAAATTTGCCTGGATTTTTAAATTAAATTTAGTATTTTTTAAATAACACAATA